CAAATATTAATGTTGTTTGTTGAAATCAGTTTTTGCTAAACAGTTGCCGGCTTCGGATTAATGCGAAGAATTGTTGTAAGGGGATGGATGTTTTTTTTTATTTACGTATGTAGTGTGGGACGAATATCATACGTAACAATAAAAAAAAAAAAAGAAGGACGAAGGTTCTTGAGGTTAATCAGGAATTCTTTGGGTAATTTATACCATTGCCACACTGAAGGCTGCGTTCATGCACTACACGGTCATGTGGAAATGTTTTTTAGACCCCAATGAAGTGTTCGAAATTTATTTTATAAAATTCATCCACCCCCTCCCCCAAAAATGTACTGCTCATGCAGATTCAACCAGATTAACGAGTAGGGGGTGTCATACGTATTCCATACATATGGTATTAGGTACAAGCGTATAGCGCGTCCCTAACAAGCGAATTGGCCATTCTTATGTTATGAAATGAATTGTAATTTCTGTCATATTGAGCCAATCGAAAAACTAACCATATCACTAAAAAGATTTTATCGACTTTAGTGTAGGTTCCAAGTTACAGATCATTTGGACAAATATAATTCAATTAATGAGAAGCCGTGCAATTTACAGAGAATGTACGGGGATTTTGACCGCGTCCCCCAAAACAATACATTCTCTGTTAATTTGATGAAACTAGGAATAAATACTGTTCAGCTAGTTTTTATCCAAACGTTTTGAAACTTGGTATATATACTAATTTTTGGGTGCCCTTTCATCTGGTGGGGTTTGTTTCGTGAATAGATCAATATTTCTTTGATTAGTGCCCAGTCCCCTGCGCAACGTCGAAATGGCCAATAGAAGCACCTAACAAGCGAATTGTGTTCCCTAAGGAATCCCAATTTATACCGAGCAGTGCAAAATACTTTAAATGTCACAAACAATTCGTTGTTTGGCAGCGGAATCGGCCCTTGTGGTTGCAAGTCAGTTAAGGCGCCTTACACTTGTAGCTCTAGTCAAAGGGTTAGGTTTAGAGGAAAAGACGGTTCAGGCTATATAAAATGTTACATTCACAATTCTAAGTTAAAATGTTATGAGAACATTTTTACCGAATAAGTGTTAAAAAGCTCGAATAAGTCGATAAAAGATGTAGAAAAATATTGAAAATATACAAGTGAAAAAGAGTAAGCACCCAGTGTTTGCTTGTTACAGGTGCTTCTATTCGCTTGTTAGGGGCAGATATAGACTTGTGCCATATATGGAATACGTACGTATACTACAAACCCGCCTCAAGATTCGTATCAAAACAAGAACACGGGAGTCCTAATCAGACATCTATCAAATCAAAGTTAGCCCCTCAAGGACACTCTGATAGTAAGGAACTGAAAAATCAAGCATGTCAAATTCTGTGCTTTTGGAAAACTTTTCAAGAAAAGCGTGCCACGATCTGCGACAACTCTTTATTCACGAATAATAAATAKATACATTCACGGAGGGGGGAAGGGTACAGAGCGTATCTTATTTCGTTTGCTGGGAGGGGGGTGGWAGTAATCAACTTCTGTGATTTTTTGGCTCGGCATTTCTCATATTTTTTTAATCAGTTTTGACCCAACAATCATACTAACTTTAGAGATCTCGACCTTTTAGACTACTAAACAAGTAGCGTCGAATCGCGCAATAATTAATTGTTAATCATTTTTCTCAAAAATCAGAGTTGTTATTGTGTTACCAACAGCGATAGGCGTTGAGGACTTCGAATCCAGGACCACTCGTGAATCAACGCGGAACCTATAACTTGTAAAAACTTGATAAATGCTATAAGCACCAAACATTCATGACAACAACCTTGAATCGAAAAAGCGGCAACGAAAAAACGCGACTGCAAAATGAAGATCCTGGTGTTGATGATAGCTTTGAGCTGCTTGTTCTCTTTGGCCTTTCCGTCAAAAGGTATTAAAACTATTTGTTCACAATTTCTTCTATTCATCCTTACGTCTTTTATACTTTAAAGATAAACTTATATATTTGAGTTGAATGTTGAGAGACAAGTT